GCCCCAGAACCCCAAACATGCTGGGCTGGGGGGGGGGGCGCACGGGCTCCACTGTGTCTTCTCGATGTGTCCAGCATGTCCTCCATTGGGGACCGTCGGCGGGTCCGACGGCGACTTTGGGATGGGAGGTGGCGGTCTGGTAGCCTGGTAGGCACAGTCGACCCGCATGGTAAGGCTCGGCAACCTTCCCAGGGGCACTGTGCCTTGGCATCCTAGTCCCATTATTCCTCCTACTATTCCTCCTCCTCCTCCTCACCTCCTCCTCCTCCTCCTTCATCTCTTCCTCAGGGGTACTGTACCTTGGCATCCTTCTCTCCTCGGACCGTCCCTGGCCACTTCCGTGGGCCGCGCCCCGGCCGAGAATCTTCGGGGCGGCCTTCCGAGGCCTTTGGCACCCTTTCTCGCGCATCCTCATGACACGGGCCGGCTGCAGTCAGGACCCGCTTCCTTGCGACCCGAACGACATGGGCACGAGAAGAAGGGGTACATTGCCCCGCGGTTCCTCTTCATTCTGAACCGGACTCGCTGTGGGTGTCGCCGCGGCCTGTGTGCATTTGAGACAGCAGGCCGCTGTTGGTTTGGGACAACATTTCTTGTTGGGCATTGTACCCATTTTGTCCGTACCATTTCTAGGGGAACGAAAAGTTACATAAAACAAAAAACTCGGAGGTCCGCGCGGATTTCTCGGATCGGCGCTGGACCCCCCTTCCCTGGCGCGTGCCCAGCGCGCCAGGGGCGGCGCCGGAGGCGCCGCCGGGGGGCCCCAGCGCCGATCCGAGCAATCCGCGCGGACCTCCAGGTTTTTATGTTTACGTCACATTATGTTCCCCTAGAAATGTGTACGGACAAAATGGGTACAGTGCCAAACAAGAAATGTTGTCCCAAACCAGCAGCGGCCTGCTGTCTCAAATGCACACAGGCCGCGGCGACACCCACAGCGAGTCCGGTTCAGAATGAACAGGAACCGCGGGGCAGTGTACCCCTACTTTCCGTGCCCATGTCGTTCGTTATGTTTATGTCACATTTTATGTTTATGTTACATTCTGTTCCTTCGTGCACGGGCCTGCTGCTCGCGGGGCGGAGCGTGCATCCACGCCCACGCGCCCGCTGCGGGCGGCTCTGCGCCGGCGCTCCGTGCGGAGCGCGGCCGCGGGAGCGAGCATCCGCGGCATCGCGCATCCAGGGTTAAGTCGGGCGTGTCCCTCTACAGGGGTTGTAAGCCCCGAGGGGGTCTGCATCTTTCCCGCGAGCAAGGGGGCCCTGCTGTCCGCGCGAGGCAGTTGGAAGGCAGATTTCAAATCAAATTGCGCGGCGCGCTTGCCTCGGCACGCAATTTGCCGCGGCGCCAGGAGCTGCTCTGACGGCACTTCCCGCGTCGCAAGATCCGCGACTGTCCCAGACCCCCAGGTGCTCACAACACAGGGGGAATATTCTAAAAGAGTCAAAAAATCGTTGGGGGTCTATTTTTGGAGTATTTTTCAATTTGGGAGTATTTTTTGAGTATCTTTTATTTTTCGTTGATAATCCCCCTGTAGGGGAACACGCCCGAATTAAACCCAGGGGATGGCGCCTCGGCATCCAGGCCGCGAGGGGATGGCTACAGTCGAGATTGATTAGTATCGGTGGTGGATAGATCTCCTCCCATGACACGTCGATTAAGGAATTGGCCGTTTTCGGCTCGCGAGAGGGCGTCGCGGCCGTCATTTTTGCGGGTCCAGGTCCGTCAGTTTCGGTCCCCGGCCGTTTTCACTAAGGGGAGGTCTACTAAAGGGAGGTTTGTCCAGCGCCGAATCCAGGGGATGGCGCGCGCCTCGGCATCCAGGCCGCGAGGGGATGGCTACAGTCGAGATTGATTAGTAGGTCGACCCTGCCAAATCAAGGGTACCCTTGTGTCCTGTGCTTCGCGGCCCATGCCTTCGACAGCTCTATGGCAACGTGGCCCTCGAAAGGGTCTCGTGTCCTGTCGCGTGTCCTCTTCAATCAGACCCGACTGTATGGCCGTGCCTTCGCTCGTGGGCTTCTGCACCCTCCGCGATGGTCAGGGCGAGGGCCCTCGTCACCGTCCCCCCCCCCTTCTCCGCCGAACCCTGCCCCACTCCTGTGTGAACTTGGTGCTCCGCGAGGCGGGGGGTGGAGGGAGGGGGGATGCTGGAGCGGGAGGCCGCGTCCTCACACCGGCGCGCCCGTCAGCGCTGGCCGAGCTACGTCTGCAGAATAGGCAGGTGGCAGTCGTCATAGGCCCCCGAGTGCAGGGCGGGGAACAGCATCGACGTGCGCGTGCGCCCCCACCGCCTCGGCATTGAGAAGCGCAGCGTGCAGAGCAGGAGGGAGCTCCTCCTCCTCCTCCTCCTCCTCCTCCTCCTCCTCCTCCTCCTCCTCCTCCTCCTCCTCCTCCTCCTCTCCCCTCCTCCCTCTCTCCCTCCTCCTTCCTCCCCCTCCTCCTCCACCCCCTCCCTCCCTCCTCCTCCTCCTCCTCCTCCTCCTCCTCCTCCTCCTCCTCTCCTCCTCCTCCTCCTCCTCCTCCCTCCTCCTCCTCCTCCTCCCCCTCCTCCTCCTGCTCCTCCTGCTGCCTTCTGTGCTTCCGCCTCCGCCCGCTCGCCGCCCTCTCGGCGGCAGCGCGGGCGGCGGGCGTGCTCTCGGCGCGCGCGCGCCGCCGGACTCGCTCCTCGATATCGCCCGCGCCCGCCGGCGCTGCGCCGCCTCCCAGACGTGGGCGCGCGCCGTCCCTGGGGGAGCGCGCCATCCCCTGGGCACGGTCCCTCCTGCCCTGGCAGCGTAGGGGAACAAAACGTGACATAAACATTCAGTGTGGCATAAACCTAACGAACGACATGGGCACGGAGAGAAGGGGTACAATGCCCCGCGGTTCCTGTTCATTCTGAACCAGAGTCGCTGTGGGTGTCGCCGCGGCCTGTGTGCATTTGAGACAGCAGGCCGCTGTTGGTTTGGGTCAACATGTCTTGTTGGGCATTGTACCCATTCTGTCCGTACCCATTTCTAGGGGAACAAAACATGACATAAACATAAAAACCCGGAGGTCCGCGCGGATTGCTCGGATCGGCGCTGGGGCCCCCCGGCGGCGCCTCCGGCGCCGCCCCTGGCGCGCTGGGCGCGCGCCAGGGAGGGGGGTCCAGCGCCGATCCGAGAAATCTGCGCGGACCACCGAGTTTTTATGTTTGTGCCATATTTTGTTCCCCTAAAGCTGCCCCTCCGGTGGCGCTCGGGCGGGGCGCTGCCTGGAGAGCGCCCCGGTTCTCGGGCGGGTGGTCATTGGGGGTGGCTCGAAGTGAGGTTGAAGAGCGGGGGCCCCTGCAGGGTGAAGTCGGGCCTGTCCCTCTGCAGGGGGAGCAGTCTGGGGACGATGTTTTTTCTGTTTTGAGCATCTTTGGGGCATGTTTGGGGTATTTTCAAGTTTTCGCCCAAAACCCCCCTGTAGGGGGACAGGTCCGACCTAAGTGTAGGGCCTTCTTCTTCACCCCCGACCTGGGCCGCCCTCCGCTGCCACCCGCCCGATGTTCGAAGGCGTGGCCCGCCACGCCAGCACGTCTGGGCCCGGGGCCCCGCGGCCCTGGGCCGCGCGCCAGGGCTCCTGCTCCCTGCGGCGGGGCGGGGCGGGGCGGGGACGGGCTGCAGTCGGAGCGAGGCGTACAGTCGGGGCCCTGAAGAAGGAACCCTTGTCGTTGGGGAGGGGCTCCACGTTCCTTCAGTGTTTCACAGCTTGCCTCAGGCTTTCCTGAGGTTTTCCATGGGGAATCGAGGTTGAACTGATGGGAAAAAGGGGCCTCGTTCCTTATTTAGGGCTCCTTAGGTCAACGCCCCGACTGTAAGAGGTCGGGGTCGGCTCGGGGATCGGAGACGCGCGCCAGGTCGGCACTGACGGCGGGGGGCGACGCCAGGATCTCTGTGTGTTCGGGATGGGCGCTCCGAGGGCGCCCTCTTGGCGACAGACGCTCCGCATCCCAGTGGTCCAGCTAGATCTTGCGTCTGCTTCCCGTTTCCCCGATGTTCCCGCGCGTGTGAGAGGGCGCTGACGCGAGTACACAGCTCTCGTGCACGAGGGTGGGTGGGTACCCCAGTGTTCTTCGTGTCTGCTGGGTGCCTCTTCTGCATCCTGGGGAGGGGTTGCCCTTGGATGTTCTGTTCGTGCTGAGCGACGGAAGGGTTTCGTGATCGCGATGGATGCCCCAGGCCCGACTTTTGCGACAGCGCAAGAAGGCGTCAACCCGGCGTTCGCTGGGAGCGAGAGGCGGAGCTTCGAGGCAGCCGCCCTCGCCATCCGCCCGCCAGAGCGACACACTCCACGACCCCCGTCCGACGTCGAGGCTGACAAGGCACGGGTGCGTGGGCGGAGCGAGGCTGCTCGTGGCGCCGCGCGGACGTGTGTGTGCGTGTGTGTGTTTAATTTCTCCGCGGGGACCTTCGGGGTGCATCCTGGATCCTCGAGCAGAGGGAAGACGCGCGCGAGGCGGGAACATGCGTTGGGAACGGACGTCCCAGCGATGGCGAGGAAAGGGACGTCCGAGCGGCTGCGTCTGCCCTCGCCGGGAGGGAGGCCACGCGTGAAGTGGCGCCCGATGCCCACCGTTGCCGCCTTCCGCCGCGCCATCGCCTCGGCTGTCGCCGCGGCTCGGACGCCAGCCGCCAGAGGAGGAGGAGGAGGAGGAGGAGGAGAAAAGGAGGAGGATCCTCGAGGAGGAGGAGGAGGAGGGAAAGGAGGAGGATCCTCGAGGAGGAGGAGGAGGAAGAGGAGGAGGATCCTCGAGGAGGAGGAGGAGGAAGAGGAGAAGGAGGGGGAGGAGGGGAGGAGGAGGGGAGGAGGAGGAGGAGGAGGAGGAGGAGGAGGAGGGGAAGGAGGAGGAGGAGGAGAGGAGGAGGAGGAGGAGGGGAAGGAGGAGGAGAAGGGAGGAGGAGGAGGAGGAGGAGGAGGAGGAGGAGAGGAGGAAAAGGAGGAGGAGGAGGGGGAGGAGGAGGAGGGGACATTGAGCGGTGGACGGGCCGAGGAGCCAGCTGAAGCGCGCCCGCCGAGGGCGGCTCGCCTTCGCGCGGCTGCAGCGGGCGCTGGGCCCGAGCGCGAAGGCCGCCGCGGACGTCATAGGCTGTGGGCGTCCAACGTTCGGGGGCGTCCGAGAGAGGAGGGTACGGTAGGTTCGTGCGGCGATGGCGCGCCGGCGACGCCAGCGAAGGCGTTCAAGGTTTAGTTCTGCGACGCGGAAGCATCGAGAGACGCGATAACACCATTTGACCCGGCTGAATTCAACCTTGAACGATCGAGGCCGCGAATGATTCAAGGATGAACGATCGACGCGGTGTCAAAAACTTGTGCGCGCGCCGACGCCGCGCGAACCTAACGTACACAGCCGGGAAAAAGTTCCAACACGAACGGAGTTCCCCACATAAAGGTATTAACGGTTTCGATACCCTCCTCGCTCAGGCGGGGCCTCCCTGGAGGGGAGGGGGGGGGGCACGGAAGCATGTAAATGGTATGGGTTTCCGATGCCCTCCTCGCTCAGGCGGGGCCTCCCTGGAGGGGAGGGAGGGGCACGAAACCAGGGAAAAAGTTCCAACAAAAACAACAGAACGGACGACAACCATCTGGAATGATCTGCGGACGGCAACGCCCAGGTACAGTCATTCAGCGAGGTTCGCCTCTCAATGTTGGCAGCCTGCGCAGGTGTGCGCCATGGGCCAGGTTACCGATATGCCAGACTTTGGCTTGCACGCCCCGTGGCAACATTGGGAGGCGGATGCCTCTTAATGCCCGGGTGATCTTCCAAGTTCGTCTTTCATTGGGCCGCTGGCGGGGGGTTCCAGGTCATGCTTCCCGGTTTCGTTCCCACAGTCGGATGGCCAACATGTACCCCGCAGTGCAGACGACACGGCGTTCCGTAACATCGACAGGCGGACGTCACTTAATGCGACGGGCCTTGCCCGCTTCGATTGAACATCGTTTCGGTTTCCTTCCCTGTGCCACCTTTTGTTATAAATTGTTCACGGGGATGTAGTTGGACAGTCGACTCAAACCTTTGCACACGTGCGGGGGATTCCGACCTCCCACGCACGTCCCCAACATGAATGCTGATTTCAGTTGTGGATGATAGTAAGGGTCTCGAGTAGTTCTGTCGACTCAGGGTCCCTGCGGAGCCGCACCCTCAAGATTTCGTTGGGGGTCCGGGGGGGGCATGTTGCGCAGCAGGGTTCAAACTTATGCATTGCCCATGCACTGGAGACGGCGGGGGGAAGGCACTGATACCGCTGCTCGTCCTGGAGGGCCTTCATCGCCACGGCTGGGCCCTCCTCGAAGCACGAGCCAGAGCGCATCCAAGAGAGATTTGGAGAAGAGTTGCAGCCCGTGGAGGTTTTCTCGCACTCGGAGGATTTCGAGCAGCTGAGCTTCGCTGAGGCCTTTTTCTGGCGGTGCCCAGATCGTCCCCAACGGCCCCCGGGCGCCCGAGGCCACCAGGCGCCGAAGAGGGGGGTGAGGGCCAGGGTTGGGGAGGATAGCGCGGCCAGGGACCTGAAGCCTCCTCCAATCCAATGGCTTCCAGGACGCTCTCGAAGCTTTGGCTCCCGCTCGTCCGCGCCCAGTTTTCGGGCCACGATGTTACGAACCCCCGTCCCCCCGTCCCCTCCTGGCTCCCCTCCCCGGCGAGCCCGGAAGTAGCCCCGCTGTCCAGGGACCGAAGAGGTCGATGTTGGTTTCCTTCGGCGGAAGGCTGGCGGAGTCCGGTGGAAGTGACTCGGGGCCCAAGAGACGGGGATCAACGCAAACGGGAGTCAGCCAGAGAGCTGGGTCTAGCAGCATCATACAGGGCCAGGGTCGTCTTGACCGGGCTTGGGTGCAGGATCCAGGAGGATCCTGCAGGATCTTATAGGATCCTGCAAAGCCTGACTGACCCGGGTCTGGAATCACCCGCGCCAGGGGCCAAAAGATCCCCTAGTGGCGCGGGCGTCTCTTCACACAGCTGAGGTTGGTCCAGGGATGACAATTTGGGGGATTTCAGGGCAGCGGATCGGGCGAGCGGACCCGAACGAGCTTGTCGGGCGGGACATTGAAGCAGGAGGGCGGCCTTTCAAGCAAGCGAACGGGCGGTCCATGACGTGCGGGTCGGGCGGGCGGGCCCTACCGCGTGGGTCGGGTGGGCGGGCCCGAACGGGCTGGGCTGGTCGGGTGGTCGGGGCGTTGAATCACATGTCGAAACAAGCGTCAGACGAATGCACGAGTCCCGAGTAAATTGTGTGGAAGTCTCGTGCGTGTTCGGGACCTGGACGTCGAGAGCGCTGCGCCAACAGTACATGTTGCGGAAGCCCCATGCGAGAGCGCAATTCCGGAGTAGACTGCGAGGAAATCTCGAGCGAGAGCGCGAGTTTGAAGCGAGAAAGCATCAGGCGAGGACCGTTGCCGTTGTTGCCCGGGGCCCAGGGGCCCAGTTTGAGGCTCTGCATTTCCCGTGATGGAAGACCTAGTGCAAGCCCCAGGGGGGGTCACTTCAACTGGAAAATATTCGAGTGTTGCTAGAAGTACCCCTGGCCCAAGGTGCCCCTAGGATTCTCGGGGTGGCCCAGGCGGCCTCCTGAGCACCCCATCACGAGGCCCAGAGGGCCCCAGTGGCTCCAAAATGGTGCGAAAAGCTGGGGGCACCTTGGGCCAGGGGCACTTTTAGCAACACCCGAAATAGAAGGGGCACTGGACGGGGGGGCTGAACAATAATTATTTTATAGAAGTAAAAGGCCAACGAGAATCCGCACCGCGGAAATCCAGCTCAGCCACGCACCCGGGGACGGTGTAGGACCGTTCCTCCCCCCAATCTGAGATTCGTATGTCTCTCCTGTGCGTGTCTGCTGGTGCCCTCCTGCCACTCATGACCAGGACTGGTGCAGCACACGCGCGCCCACATGCGGTTCTGGGAGAACTACGCGGCGCTCCCCAGTCACGAGGACGGTTGGGTGGTGGCGCCCACGCCCCCGAGCAAGCCGAGCGGCGCCGCCGGCGAGCTGAAGCTGGTTGCCATCGACTGCGAGATGGTGGCCACGGCGGAGGACGACGGCGCCCTGGCGCGCGTGTGCGTGTGCGACGAGGAGGGGAAGATGCTGCTCGACCGGCTGGTAAGGCCGGAGGCGGACCCCACCGACTTGCGCACCGAGATTACGGGCATCACCGCGGAGGAGCTGCGGGCGGTCAGCTACTCGCGCAGCGATGCGCAGCGGGACGTGCTGCGGCTCATGGGCCCGCTGACCGTCGTGGTCGGGCACACCCTGCACAAGGACCTCGCCGCCCTGCGGCTCGACGCGCTGCTGGTGCTGGACGTGGGCCTGCTCTACGGCCTGGAAGGCTTCCCCTCGCGGATGCCGCCGCTGGCGCACCTGGTCGACCAGGTGCTGGGCCGCAGCGGATTCCGTGGCGCTGACGGGCGTTCGGCCCACAACTGTGCCGACGACGTCGTGGCGACCATGGAGCTCTGCAAGCAGCGCATCAGGCAGTGCGTGGAGGACGCGAAGGTGCGGGCCATCGTGTGGGTGCCCCCGCCGCAGGTGGGCGCGAACCTCGACGAGAAGGAGGCCCGGGAGCTCCTGGTGCACCGCCTGCCAGACCGGCCTGGCATGGTCATGGCGGTGATGTCGATGTTCGCCTCCGTGAAAGGCTCGGCGGCGCGCCGAGTTTCTCCTCCTCCTCCTCCTCCTCGCCCTCCTCCTCCTCGCCCTCCTCCTCGCCCTCCTCCTCCTCCTCCTCGCCCTCCTCCTCCTCCTCCGCCTTCCGAGAAGGCCGAGGTGGGGCCAGGTGGGGCCAGGTCTTGTCGGAAGGCGGCAGGTGCTTCGGAGAAGGCTGAGAAACTCTAGGCCTCCCAGATGGGATCCGAGCAGATGCGGTCGGAGGATCGCGCCGCATCGCCGATGCAACTAGAGGGGGCGTTCCAAAAAGGGCCTTGTCTTTGAGGGTAGAAGGAGTTGTCATCTCTTCCGCGGGCGAAGGCGGCGGAAGGGCGGCGGAAGGTCGGCGGAAGTAAAACGAGGCCGCCTCCGCCAGCGGAAGCCGGCAGAAGCCAGCGGAAGCTCGGCGGAAGGCGGCGGAAGTTAAACATGCACCCCCAAGAGATGGAAAAGTGTTTGGTTTCAGGGCTTCTGAAACCCGCCAGAGTCAAGCCCGATTTACTTCACGTCGACGTCGATGCATCGCCGACGTCGGCGATGCATCGCCGGTGCATCCCCGATGCATCGCCGATGCATCGGCGATGCAGCGCGATGCTCCGACCACATCTACTCCGACCCCATTTAGGAGGCCTCGAGAAACGCATCTCAGCAGGCCAGAGGCCTTTTATCGAAGAAGGTCGATCGCGTAAACATACATTTCGGACGTTCGCGCGGCTTCTTTGGATCGGCGCTGGACCCCCTCTGGCGCCGCCAGGGAGATGGGTCCAGCGCTGATCCGAGAAGTCCGCCCGGACCTCCAAAAGTGTATGCTTATGCACTTGTTTGCTTCCTCCATTCCAGAAGCCTTCTGAGAAGGCAGGCCACCTCAAAGCCATCCCCTCTTCCAAGGAGGAACAATGGAAGGACCACCCCGACCGCCTTCATTGGTGTTTATTAAACGGCCCCAGGCGTTTGCTACACAGCCCTGTCCTGCTCGTTTCCTTCCTCGCTTCGCCTGTACGGGTGCTTACTATGACGGCGATATTCCTGGCGCGGCCGATTCGATTCGAGAAGGCTTGCCCTCTCTGCCTTCTGAGAAGGAACGCCCCTCTACCCGCCCCTCTATTGATTCGATGCTTACCTCTCCTGCTGCTGTGGACCACCAAGGGTCTGGACCCCTTCCGGGGGACCCGTTTTTCATCCAGAGTCCTGTTTTGACGGTCCCGAAGCCCGTCAAGGGCCCGTCATCAGAAACCGTGATTGTTCATGACCTGACTCGAAGAAGAAAAATCGGCACAAACAGAAAGTTTTTTTGCGCTCAGCGCGGATTTCTTGGATCGGCGCTTGGGCCCCCTTGGCGGCGCCTCCGGCGCCGCCCCTGGCGCGTTCCGTGCGCATGGGAGGAGGGTCCAGGGCAGATCCAAGAAATCTGCGCGGAGCGCCAAAAGTTGATGTTTATGCCCGTTTTTGTCCTTCTAGGAAACAATGAGAAACCGTCCGGCGTGATTTCTTCCTGACCCCACGGGGTCTGGGCCTCTGGGCGCCGCGTCGCAAGGCGCCACCGCCGACGTGGAGGGCGTGGACCTGCGCCCGGCGTCCGCGCGCGCCGCGGCGCAGGTCCTGCGGTCGGTGAGGGTGCTGTTCCGGACGCGGGAGGACGCAGAGCAGGCCTACGACGACGATGTCGGTGCCGGCGATCATGATGGTGGTGATGGTGGCGATGATGATGGTTGTGATGACGGGCATGCTCATGGCGGCGAGGTTGATAGTGTTGATGATGTTGATGCCACTGCTGATGATAATGAGGATGACGATGACGATGACGATGATGATGATGGCGATGACGATGACAATGACGATGACGATGATGGTGATGCTGCTGATGATGATGATGCTGATGATGGTGATGCTGATGCTGATGATGATGATGATGATGATGATGATGATGATGATGCGAAAGCTGGTGATGAGGAAGACGAGGGTGAGGATGATGATAAGAAGGCTTATGAGAATGAAGATGATGATGATGATGATGATGATGATGATGATGATGATGATGATGATGATGATGATGCTGTGATGATGGTTGTGGTTATGATGATGATAACGATAATGATGATAGTGATAAAGATGATGATGGTGATGGTGGTGATGAGTTTGGTGCTGAGGCTGGTGCTAATAATACTGATGATAAGGATCATGATGATGATGCTTATGATGAGGATGCTGATGGTGCTGATGATGATGCTGATGCTGTTGCTGATGCTGATGATGATGATGATGCTGCTGATGCTGCTGCTGATGATGATGCTGATGATGATGATGATGGTGCTGATGATGATGATGATGATGATGATGATGATGATGATGACGATGATGATGATGATGATGATGATGATGATGGGGATGGGGATGGTGATGATGATGATGATGATGATGATGATGATGATGATGATGATGATGATGATGATGATGATGATGATGATGATGATGATGGGGATGGTGATGAGGAGGAGGGTTAGATGCACGACCCAAGGCGGGGGCCCGACGCCCTTCAGGGCCCACCGCGGCGCCCCATGGCCCACGCGGGCCCAAGCCGGCGCCGCCAAGGATTCCAAGCCGAGGACAGCCGACGAGGAAGGGCGCCCAAGGGTCCTCTCCTCCTTCTCCTCCTCCCTCCTCCTCCCTCCTCCTCCCTCCTCCTCCTCCCTCCTCCTCCTCTCTCCTCTTCCCTCCTCCTCCCTCATCCTCCCTCCTCCTCCTCCTCCTCCTCCTCCTCCTCCTCCTCCTCCCCGGGGCCCCGGGCCGCCCAGCGGCCCTGCGAGCGCGCCTCGCGATCGGCCGCGGAGCGGCCCAACCGAGGATCATGTTGATGATCAAGACTATGGTGAAGTCAGTGTTGATGATGATGGTGATGGTGATGATGGTGCAGATAATGATAATGGTGGAGATGATGATGCTGATGGCGATGGCGCTGGTGATGGGCATGACGATGATGTTGATGCTGACCATGATGATGACGAGGACGACGACGACGATCATGATGATCATCATGAGGATGATGGTGGTGATGCTGACCATGACGATGCTGATGATGATGATGATGATGATGCTGATTGTCATGGTGATTGTCATGGTAATGGTGATGGTGATGATGATGTTGATCCTGATGCTGGTGATGATGATGTTGAGAATAAGAATGCGGATGATGCTGCTGATGATGATTGTGATGGTGGTGGTGGTGTTGATGATTTTGGTGGTGATGATGATGGCGATGGCGATGGTGATGGTGATGGTGATGACGATGCTGATGATGATGATGACGACGACAATGATGATGATGATGATGATGGAGAAGTTGATGGTCTTGGTTGTGTTGATGATGATGCTGATGCTAATGTTGATGATGACGATGATGTCGGTGATAATGCTGGTGATGATGATGGTGATGATGATGATCACGATGATGATGATGATGATGATGATGATGATGATGATGCTGATGATGATGATGATGATGATGAGGATGATGATTATGATGCTGATGATGCTGATGATGCTGAGATTGATGATGATGGTGGTGATGATGATGAAGGTGGTGATGATTATGACGATGGTGGTGGTGGTGATGTTGATGATGATGGTGGTGATGATGATGATGGATGATGATGATGCTGATGATGATGATGATGATGATGATGATGATACTGATGATGATGCTGATGCTGATGATGATGATGCTGATGATGATGATGATGATGATGATGATGATGATGATGATGATGATGATGATGATGATGATGATGATGATGATGATGATGATGATGATGATGATGATGATGATGATGATGATGGTGACGACTAGGCCTACGAGATGCTCCCGGCCGTTTCCGAGGGCACCGACTCCGCGGGCCGGCCGCAGAAGCTCGTGAGCCTCGGCGGGCTCTTGCCAGAGGCCGCCGCAGAGGTCTACGTGCGGCTCCCCGCTCCAGCGGCGGCGGCCGCGGCGGCTGGCGGCGGCCATCCAGGGCCCCCTAACGCTGTGGTGACCACGCCGCGTGGTGAGCCGGTCCCAGACAGCATCGCGTCGTAAGAAGTCAGGACGGGAGGTTTGGGGCCGTGTTCGGCCTTCGTGGGCCCTTGCGGGGCCTCGGGGGCGTCAAAAAGCGATTCAGAACGGAAAGCCGGTCCCGGGGAAAGGGTCGGGACTTCCAGGGGCCCCGTTCTGAAAGAATCAGGACGGCGCATGGCTGGGGTGGTGAGTCGGTGGGGAGCCGGGGTCACCACACTGCTTTGGGACTCGGGTCGTTCTCCAGGGACGTCTCGGGCGACCAGGGCCTCCGAGGTCCCAAAACAGCGTGGTGGGACGGACCGCGCAATGAGCTCGTTAGGGGTTCCGAAATCATCACGGGGTCGGCTACCGCAACAAGACAGTTTGGGACCCCCGAAAGGCAAGCCTGGCGCGCGGGCTGACGCGGCGGGCGTTCCCGCAGCAGCGGGTGCTCGGCGTCGCGCAGAAGGGGCTGACACGGGGGGTGGGGGGCAGGCCTCACCCCAGACCTCCAGCAGATTGCCACAAGCAAGCGCAGGGTTTTCTCAGCTTTGGGCCTCTGTGGGCCCTCGCCAGGCCTCCCCCCAGACCTCCAGCAGATTGCCACAAGCAGGCGCAGGGTTATCTCAGCTTTCGGCCCCTGTGGGCCCTCGCTGGGCCGAGTCGACTCGGGGTGATGGGAAAACCGGCCCCGGGGAACGGGTCGAGACTTCTGGGGACCGCGCATGGAAGAAGTCGCGACATAGGATGTCTGGGTCTGACATGGCCTGGTGCTGCGCGGCCTGAAGCCAGCCCTCCCCCCGCTGGCGGCTTGCCCCGATCCATTCCGAGAGGCTTCGGGGGTGGCACGAGGGGCTCGACACCCTAAGCCTGACGCCCCACGCCCTAAACCTTCAACGGTGGTGGGTGCAGGTCTAAACCTGCTCCCCCCCTCCCCGGTGACCTCTCTGAGACGGCCTGGGGCTTCTCTTCACAGGCCCGCCAGGCCCCTCCTGGCTTGTGAAAGGCCCCAGAGGTCCCAGAGGGCTCAGGAGGAGGAGGAGGAGGAGGAGGAGGAGGAGGAGGAGGAGGAGGAGGAGGAGCCCCCCCTCAGGCCCCCCCTGGCTTGTGAGAGGCCCTCTCGTAGAGCGGCCCTCGGGCCATCCGTGGAGGCGCGGAGGCGCAGCGCAGAGCACCCCTCGCCCAAGCCCCCGTTCCCCAGAGGTCCGATGTACAGTGGAGGCCCATGCCAAGAACTACCCTGCTTGCCTCCAGGGTGCCCTGCGTTTCTTGGGTTTCGATGGTTCTGCTGTGGAATGCGTGACGTTCCCACGGGGTCTCAGGGTTGGGTTTCTTGTGGAAGGCTTCTTGTGAGGCGCAGGTGCTGGAAGGCGCCCCTCTGGCAGGGGGAATCGCCGAGGACCAGCTCGAACGCCCGAAGACCTTTTGGCCACGCGCAGAGGGGGGCGGGCGACGACGACGACGACGACGACGACGACGATCAAAGACGAAGGTTTTCCGCCATCTTCAGCCTCTGGGGGCCCTCGGCGGGCTTCAGGACCGTACAGAGACGATTCGGGACGAAACGCTGGTCCTGGGGAGCGTGTGGATACTTCCGGGGACCCCGATGTGGAAACATCACGACAGACATCGGATCACTGTGGAGGGGGGGGGGAGGGGGGAGGGCTTCTCAGAAACACCCCTGCTTCTTGAAAGGTTTGGGCTTCATCTGTAGATGTACGGCCGGCGCCTTCTAAGAAACAGCCTCTTTTCTAAGAAGCCCTCTCCCTTCCCTCCATCCCCTGGTGCGCGCCGCCAAGCCTTGAACCGAAGGCGCCCCGAGGCCGGGAAGCCGCCGAGGACCAACGCCCGAAGACCTCGAGCCACAGCGAGGAGCGCGGACGCCCGACAACCCCACGGCCGAAGACCTCGAAGACCTCGAGCCGCAGCGGAGGAGCGCGAGCGCGCGCACACCCGAGAACCCCACGAGCAGCGCGACGACCCCGAAGACCAGCGACCGAACGCGAACGCCCGGAACCCGAGGTGCGGCCACCCGCTGGCGGGGCTGGAAGCGCTGCGCGGACGACGAGCTGCGCGCGGCGGGCGGCGAGCTGCCGTGGCGGCGGCTGCGCGACGCGCTGGTGGCGCGGAGCCGCGCCTCGTGCCCCGGGGCGGCCGCCCTGGACGAGGAGGAGCTGCGCCTCCTCCTCCTCCTCCTCCTCCTCCTCCGCCTCCTCCTCCTCCTTCTTATCCTCCTCCTCCTCCTCCTCCTCCTCCTCCTCCTCCTCCTCTTTCTCCTTGTCCTGCTGCTCCTCCTCCTCCTCCTGATATTCCTCCTCCTCCTTCTCCTCCTCCTCCTCCTCCTCCTCCTCATCCTCCTTTTTTCTCCTCCTGCTCCTCCTCCTCCTCCTCCTCCTTCTCCTCCTTCTCCTCCTCCTCCTCCTGCTGATCTTCCTCCTCCTCCTTCTCCTCCTCCTTGCCCCGGGGCGGCCGCCCTGGGCGAGGAGGAGCGGCGCCTCTGCGCGCTGGCCCTCCGGAGATCGGCACGAGGGAGTCGGCCATGCGTATCCAGGCCGCCCAGATGGGGTCGGAGTAGACCCAGACGAGGGTGTTTGGAGGCAATTTCTGCCTCGGGGGGCCCTCGCTGGGCCTTTGGAGCGTCAAAAAACGACTCAGGACGAAAAGCCGGTCCCGGGGAAAGGGTCGGGATTTCCAGGGACCCCGTTCTGAAAAAATCCGGACGTCGCATGTTTGGGGATGGTGACGGAGGATCGCGCCGCATCGCCGATGCGTCACCGATGCGGCTCGATGCGGAGCCCGATTTTCTCCACGCCGACGTCGCCGATGCATCGGCGATGCGGCGCGATCCTCCGACCCCATCTACTCGGACCCCATCCAGGAGGCCTCTGGCTGCGCCTCTGCGCGCTGGCCCTCCGAAGAGTAGCAAGCCGTGCGCAAGACTGGCCCCCCGGTGCAGGCACAGGGGCGCCCCCAGGTGGCGGAATGCTGTGCGACAGCAGCGGCTTGCGCGCTCCGAGTCGGCCTCCCCGCGGGCCGGGGGGGGGGGGGGCACGATCTCTGTCGAATCATGCCATGCTGGCCGCTCGCCCGCGTCGGCCGCGCGCGCCTGGCGGAATCCTTGCAAAACCTGCGCGCTGATACGTGGACACCAGCGTCGCCATCCGCTGCCAGCATTAGGTCGGGCCTGTCCCTCCTCTACAGGAGGAAGATCCAAAACTAGTTATAACAATAACAAACTATATGAGGACGATATTTGGTATTGCTAATTTTGGGCTAGTTTTGCGCATGTGTTGTGTATGTGTGTTTGATGTTCGTCCCGCATCCCCATGTAGGAAGACATGCCCGACCTAATGCCAGCATGGGCGCCGTCACTGGCCTTGCCGTCGTCGCCGGTCTCCGAAGGATGGCCCGGAGAGCCCCGGGCCAGGCCCAAGACAGGCACAATTTTGCCCCAACAAGCCCGCAGGATGCCTCACGAGGGCTCCAATCAGGAGGGGAGAAAACACACAGACACAATTCAGCGTCGATCCCCCGGAAAAGATGGGGAACTATGGACAACAGCGGGGGGGGGGGGGAAGACGAAAACCCAGGAGAGAGGGGAAGATAAGGGGGAGCCTGAGATTTGTGCGCAGTTGCTTGTGTGTCCCTGGGCCCCGTCATCCGAGGCAGCCCCCGACACACTCGCGCACACGTGCTGAGGACGCCCGCGCACCATGCCCGGGAGGGGCAGCGCACGGGCGAGGGGCAGGCTCTGCCTCCTCCCCGGGGGTGCGGCCACGGCCGGGGGGCGTGCAGAGGGGACGGCAGCTCCTGCCCGTGCGGACCAGGGTCTGGTGCCAGTGCCCCCGCGGGCCTTCTCCGCAGCCGCCCCTCGGCTAGACGTAAGAGTGACCCTTTCGCCGGAGTGGCCTCTGGTGCGGGCACGGATGGGCCCCCAGATGGCTGGAAGCGGAGCAGGAGCAGCGGCGTGCGCGCCCGGGTTTGGTCCCCCCGACAGAGACGCGCACCAGAGGTCACTCTTACCCGGGGTCACTCTAGACTCTAGCGTGTAGCCGATTCCCTTCCCCGGGCCTGGGTGCGGAAGAGGAAAGAGGAGGAGGAGGAGGAGGAGGAGGAGCAGGAGGAGGAGGAGGAGGAGGAGGAGGAGGAGGAGCAGGAGCAGGAGGAGGAGGAGGAGGAGGAGGAGGAGGAGGAGGAGCAGGAGGAGGAGGAGGAGGAGGAGCAGGAGGAGGAGGAGGAGGAGGCAGGCGGCCTTATATGACTCGGCGGCAGGCAGGGTGGGGCCCGGGTGCGGAAATGGCGGGGCCTCCTCTCCCCGGGGCAGGCTCTGCCCCTCCTCGGGCCTGGGGCTCCGTCGGGCCTGTCCCTCTACAGGAGGGAAAGCCAAAAATAGTCCAACAAATAGTCTGAGGACGATTCGTTGCTTCGTGTTTAGTTGTTCGGGATTCTTCGTTTGAGTATCTTAAGCTGTTCGCCCAAAATCCCCCTGCAGGGGGACAGGCCCGACCTGAGCCTGGGTGCGGAAAAGGCAGGTGCCCCTGTCGAACAGGATCTGATGTCGGTGGCGCCGCGGGCCCCCTTGGCGGTGCCCCCGGGGCCCCTTGGGCGTGCCCCAGGTCCCGCTGAGACACAAGGCCGCCTGCCCCTCGGCGGCCGCCGTGGGTTTTGGACAACGCTTGCGGTTGGACGTCCTACCCATGGTTTTCGCAGCCAGCTCGGGAAACCAATGACGAGGAAGATGCACACATGGTTGATTTCTCATTCTTCGGAAGTGCTTTGATTGTTGGGGGGCCAAGGTCCTTTCATTTCTAATTGATCTATGCTGGGCCTCTGCCTGGCCACTGGGGGACCAGGAACAATAGGAACGAGCACAACTAGAGATGAGCACGATTAGAAATGAACGCTGTGTACGGATACTGGTGACTGGGCGGCGCCGTCGCCGAAGTACACAGATCGAGGCTCTAGGTTCGAGGTGACCAGTCGAACCTCGACGATCCAGGCTGGAGGCTTTGTGGATTCCTATGGCCCTCCTTGTCACCACGGCTGGACACGGCTGGATGCGTTTGGACCCCAGCGGGGCTGCTGGGATCGATGATGAGCGGATTTGGGGAGCCTCCTCGCGTCGCGATAACAAAGGCGACGGAGGTTTCTTTTTGCCGCCACACACGGATCGTTGAAAGTGGGTGTTTTCGAATGCTCAGCTTCCAACCTTCACACTGTTCATGTCTAATCCTTCGAAAGCTCTTTGATTTTTTGTGGGGTCAAGATCCTGTCATTTCTAATTCTTCCATCCTGGGCCTCCTCCTGGCCACTAGGGGGCCAGGAACAATTAGAAACGAGCACAAGTAGAAGTGAGCACGACTAGAAATGCATGACGTGTAGATGGGGTCGGAGGATCACGCCGTATCGCCGGTGCATCGCCGATGTGGCTCGCTGCGGATCCTGATTTTCTCCATGCCGACGTCGCCGATTCGCCGACGTCGTCGATGCATCGACGATGTATCGACGATGCATCGACGATGTATCGGCGATGCATCGGCGATGCGGCGCGATCCTCTGGGTACCGATGCCGCCACCCTTCCTTGTTGCCGTGGAAGAATTCGGCCACGGGCGTTGTCGCGCTGTCTTCTGCATCCGGAGGCCCTGGCCGGGCCCCGGGGCCGTCAAGAGACGGCTCTGGATGAAAAGCCGGTCCTGGGGGATGGGTCCAGGGCCGACGTTGATCGGGGGCGGAAAAGAGGGGGGTGATGACCATGGGGGGATAGATATCATGGCGTGGGCCATGATATTTCCCCAGATCTCATGGCGCCCCTTCTTATTCCATTACGTCCCTGGCCTCCCCGCTGGGCCGCGCACATGCCGCCAGTCATGATGTGCACCCCCCCCCTCTTGGACACCCCCCTCTTGGCCGCTCCCGAGTTGAGGAAAGTGTGCCGATACCGCCACCCGTCCCTCGTCGCCACCGTTGGACGCGCCTCGAAGTCATCGTCAGAAGTCAGCACCGCCGGACCCATCCCCATCCCGGCAGGGCCATGGTGGCTCAGCCCCGCCAGTCCACCCTCTCAGAAGCTCAGAAGTGGGGATCGCCCCGCGAAGCTCGAAGAAACAGCCTGATATGGTCCAGGGTCTGGCCCCCCAAACAAATAACCAACCAAAACAAGGCTAGAAAAAACCAAAACAAATCAAACAACGAAAACACAAACCAAACATCCAAAACAAAGTGAAAATTTACAACATGCTGATGCCATCGGGCCCCCACCCCCCCCGCGCGATGCCTCCCCCCCCTGCGGGTGTGGTAATTATGGTGCTGTGGGTGTGGCGTGCGTGGCGTGGTACTGTGGTGCGCCAGGAGAGCTCCGGAGGTCGTCGTCGTCGCCGCCGCCGCCGTCGTCGGAGGTCTCCCGACGGCGGCGGCGGCGGCGGCGCCGCCGCCGCCAACGTCGTCGTCGTCGTCGTCGCAGTTCTCGTCGTCGTCATCGTCGCCGTCGTCGTCGTCGTCGTCGTCGTCGTTGTCGTCGTCGCCGTCGTCGCCGTCGCCGTCGCCGTCGCCGTCGCCGTCGCCGTCGCCGTCGCCGTCGCCGTCGCCGTCGTCGTCGCCGTCGCCGTCGTCGTCGTCGTCGTCGTCGTTTTCGTCGTCGTCGTCGTCGTCGTCGTCGTCGTCCCCCCCCGGGTCCCATCAGGGGGGGGGCCCGAGGGACCCTGAGACCCATCCCATCTGGGGGGGAGGGGGGGGGACCCGTGGGCCTGGAGCTTTGGATCATAAATATATATATATATATATATATATATATACACCTATACGTCCACCCTTCGGGTGATAAGGAGGTTCGGGGGGAGAGGAACCAACGTCTCTCTCAGTCGGTCTCACTATCGATCTCACAATCGATCTCACTATCGGTCTCGCTCGATCGATCTCATCCGATCGATCTCACAATCGATCTCACTCGATCTGTTTCATTCGATCGATCTCACCATCGATCTCACTATCGATCTCACTATCGGTCTCGCTCGATCGATATCATCCGATCGATCTCACAATCGATCTCACTCGATGTGTTTCATTCGATCGATCTCACCATCGATCTGACTATCGATCTCACAATCGATCTCACTAGCGATCTCACCATCGATCTCACAATCGATCTCACATGCGGCCTCACTATCGATATCACAATCGATCTCACAATCAACGTCATCATCGTCAACATCATCGTCATCAACTTCATCAATATCATCATCATCGGGACACACTCATCATCATCACCTCATCACCATCATCATCAACATTATCACCATCGTTATCACCATCAGCATCATCGGGACACCATCATCGTCGCCATCATCATCAACATCATCATCATCGGGACACCATCATCATCATCAGCATCACCAGAACATCACCATCATCAGCATCATCATCCTCATCACCATCCTATCATCAGCATCATGAGCAACATCATCATCATCGTCATCATCATCGGGACACCATCACCAGAGCAACATCATCATCATCACCATCATCAGCATTGGGACACCATCATCATCAACATCAGCATCATCACCATTGTCGGGCCACCATTATCAAAACCAACAGCATCACCTCATCAGCATCCTCATCATCAACATTATCATCATCATCGGGACACCATCATCGTCATCATCAACATCATCATCATCGAAACACCATCATCATCACCATCATCATCAACAGCATCATCAGCAACCTCATCATCATCATCATCATCATCATCATCATCATCATCATCATCATCATCGGGACACCATCATCATCGTCACCTTCATCATCATCTCATCATTTCATCATCATCAACATCATCAGGATCCTAAGCATCATCAGCATCATTGGGACACCATCGTCATCAGCAAACATCATCATCATCAACATCATCATCATCATCGGGGCACCATCGTCATCAACACCATCACCATCATCATCATCATCATCATCATCGTCAACATCATAACCATCATCATCGGGAAACCATCATCATCACAACCATCACCAGTATCATCAGAATCATCATCATCATCATCATCATCATCATCATCGGCATCATCATCATCAGCATCATCATCATCATCATCATCATCATCATCATCATCATCATCATCATCATCATTATCGGGGCACCGACGGGACACCGGCGGGACACCGCGGGCCACTGGAAGCCGGTCTGGAATCATTTGGTTCGGCCGCGCCTCGGCCGGAGGCGGGACACCGGCGGGACACCGCGGGCCACTGGACGCCGGTTCGGAATCAGTTGGTCCGGCCGCGCCTCAGCCGGAGGCGGGACACCGCGGGCCACCGGACGCCGGTCTGGAATCATTTGGTCCGGCCGCGCCTCAGCTACAGGAGACTCTCTTTTCGCCCGCCTACGCAGCTTCGCCTCGCCCGCACGCACGGCACGCACGAACACGAAACCGAAATCGATTTCCCGGTAGGGGTGCTCTCCGGTCCACTTCGATCTCACCCCCTCACCTCCGATATATCCACACAGACGGGTAAAATGGCCAGGGTGGCCAGGGCCACACCAGTGGGGATGGGTATCGATTGCACCAAAGCAGCCCTGGAATGGTCCAGGGAATTGCCGAGGAGGGCGATTGGCAGGGTGGTCACCACCCCCTGGAACTCGAGGATCGAGGAGGAGGAGGGAGGAGAGAGGATCGACGACGTTCTGGGCTGTCTGGGGCGTCTTTGAGCTTTCTGGGGGGGGGGGTCACCACCTTCTGGAACGAGGATTGAGGAGGAGGAGGGAGGATGGAGGATCGACGACGTTCTGGGCGTTCTGGGGCTTCTTGGAGATTCCTTCTGGGGGGGTGGGGGGGCAAAAATTCGGCAGGCCCTGGATCGGCATAACAAATCGTTCCAGAGAGCTCCGGGACGCTCTCGGAGCGTGCTGGAACGCTCTGGAAATCGGCAGCGAGCGAGGGGGGGAAGTGTTCAGTCGGGCATGTCCCTCCACAGGAGGAATATTCAAAACTAGTCCAGTAGTCAAACAATAAAATGGAAACGATTTTCTTGATTTGTTAAAACAATGTCGGCCATGTGTTTCATTTAAAGAAACATGTTCCGTCCCAAATCCTCCTGCAGGAGGACATGCCCGACCTGAGGGAAGTGAGAAGGAGAAGGCCTTGTCAGAAGGCGGCGGGGCTCCCTTCGAGGAGTTTCCCGCGCCCTCGGGGAAGGCGTGGAGAGAGAGCTTCTCCGAAGGCCGGAGGACCTCCGAGCCCTCCGAGAAGGCCCGCCCGCCCCTTCTCGCTTCCCTCCCCGGGGCTCGCCGCCGAGGAACGGCCGCGGCAGCCGACGCATCTGTCAGGGAGCCACCAGCCTCCAGAGGTCGCAGGCGGTTGTTCTGCCCCAGCCCCGGACTCTTCATCGAAAGAGGAGGCCGGTCAGAGAAAAGGAGGAAGCGCCCCGCGATACCAAGGGATTTCTTAACAGTGGCTTGAAAGATTTCAGCAGTGAATTCGCACTACGCTGTTGACACCACGTAACGCCGAGTGAATTAACACGACGCTGTTGACACTGCGCTATCGGCACTACGCTGTTGACTTCATTCGCTGTTAAGACGCACTCTCCCGCGATACCCCCCAAGGGGGCTATTCGGACGCACCCCTATCGAGGACGGGTGCCCCCTCATTTTACATCCCAGGGTGGGGCCCAAAATTGTTGGTCCAGTCTAAAAACTCCCAGCGCCTAGCATAGGGGTCGACAGATCCCCTGTTAGCAGATCCCAGATCATCCCCGTTTCTGCTTCGTCTCAGTCGGTCAAGGGGAGCCGGTTTCCTCGCGAAGTTGGCGCACCCCTCCCCCGCCGGGTGGTGACCCTCCTTGGCAGTGCCTGGGAGGAGCTGCGCCTCCGCGCGCTCGCCTGCCTGCCGGAGGGCTACCTCAGCAGCGACAGCGAGCTGGCGCGCGGAGGAGGAAGAGATGCAGTGGAGGCCCATGCCAAGAAACACCCTGCTGGCCTCCAGGGTGCCCTGGGTTTCTTGGGTTTCGAGGGCTTTGCGATGGGAAGCGTGACGCTCCCATTCTAATAATCCATGGATGGGCGTGCTTGGGTCTCAGGGTTAGGTTTCTTGTGCAGGCAACTGGAATCCGTCACGTGATGCGAGTCTGAGGGGGAGGAGGCAGAGGAGGAGGAGGAGGAGGAGGAGGAGGAGGAGGAGGAGGAGGAGGAGGAGGAGGAGGAGGAGGAGGAGGAGGAGGGGAGGGACTTCGCACCACGTGCCGAAGTCACTCCGTCTATCGTGGAGAAGGTTTCTCCTCGTGGACGGGCCCCACACTGTGTCGAACCGCTGCTCGCCCCGGAGAGCCATCTGCTGAAACAGACAAGGCCATGTCGGGGGCGGATAGCCCTCCTACCCTGACACGCCGATGGAGGAATGGGCCGTGTTCGATTCCCGAGAGGGCGTCGCGGCCGCCATTTTTGCGGGGCCAGGTCCGTCGGTTTCGGTCCCAGGCGCTTCACAGACCCCCGACGTCATGATTTGTTCATGACGTCGACCCCCAGAGGTCTGGACCCATTCCCCAGGACCGGTTTTTCGTCCTGAGTCATTGTTTGACGGTCCCGAGGGCCGGTAAGGGCCCCCAGAGTGCAAAAATAATGAAAAACCTCCCATCGTGATTTTTTCACGACTCGAGGGGGTCTGGGTTTTCACTAAGGGGAGGCTTACGAAAGGGAGGCTTGTCCACCGCCGGCCATGGGCACAAAGCGCGCGGAGGTCCGCGTGCCGGCCCGCGGGCTGGCACCGGAGCCCCCCTCCCTGGCAGCAGGTCGGGCACGTCCCCCCATACAGGCTGACTTTGGAGAAAAGAAAGCAGAGAAAGAGTCCAACGAATGCCCCTAACACAGTGTCAGAAGCAGTCAGGCCTCGTCCCCAGACTATTTTCTACCATCTTGGAACAGTTGCCCTTGGCATCGCTCGGACGTGTGCGTTTTTCCTTCAGCGAGGACCATCGAGGAGCATCCCGGCATCCCTGATCATTTGGCGAAAAAACCACGCACGAAACCAAAAAGAACACAGGAAATGGACGTCCAAACGATGGCCAGTTGCCCCTCCTGTGGAGGGACAGGCCCGACTTCACCCTGGCACGCGGAGCGCGCCAGGGGCGGCTCCACAGGCGCCAGCAGCGGGCCCCCGCGCCGGTCCGAGGAATCCGCGCGGACCTCCGAGCTTTTCTCTCTGTGCCACTGTCTGTGCCCCAAAGTATGGGGCCCGTCCACGAGAAACCTTCCACAGTAGACGGAGTGACTTCGGCACGTGATGCGAAGTCCCTCCCCTCCTCCTCCTCCTCCTCCTCCTCCTCCTCCTCCTCCTCCTCCTCCTCCTCCTCCTCCTCCTCCTCCTCCTCCTCCTCCTCCTCCTCCTCCTCCTCCTCCTCCTCCTCTTCCTCTTCCTCCTCCTCCTCCTCGGCCTCCTCCCCCTCCTCCTCCTCCAGTGCCACTGTTTGTGCCCCTGCCCTCGTCGCGACGATGCCGGACTCTCCCTAGAAGTCCTCTGGCCACGGTGCGTGCGCCCCGGGAGAGGTCCAGAGGGCAGCGGTGTACTGGTATGTTTAAGTCGGGCGTGTCCCCCTACAGTCAAGCAGTGGCGAAGCGTCCTGGCTCGCTTATAGTCCCACCAAGCAATGTTCTAAGAACTTGTTGTGGTCTGCACGGCATGTTGTTAGAACATTTCTGGCTGGGATTGTCCTGCGTTAACACACTGGGCTTATGTTCTAAGAAGTTTTCTGGTTCTTAGAACATTTTTGGGTTCTAAGAACATTTCGTGGTAGGGCTGGAGAAATGCCGGGACGGTCAGTCCCTGCTCAATACAGGGGGGATTCTCGACGAAAATAAAACATATGCCAAACACATTCCAAATTTGTCAAACAAAAATATTGGAAAAAAAAGTTCCCAAACAATTTCTGATTTTATTTGAATATTCCCCCTGTAGAGGGACAGGCCCGACTTAATGGTACGTCTTTTGCCTCGCCCAGGTGCGAGCGCCGAAGCGCCGGAAGGGCGCGCAGGCACAGTGAGCCGCGCCCGACCAAAGGCTGGTGGAGGAGAAAGGTTGCGCCGGGCGCGAGGAGGAAGCCAGGGGCACTTTCGCTGGTCGGCTAGACGTAAGAGTGACCTTTCGCCGGAGTGACCTTTGGTGCGGGCACAGATGGGCCCCCAGATGGCTGAACACGAAGTGCAGCAGCTGCTTGCGCGCCCAGGCTTGGCCCCCCCGCGGCCCCCCAAAAGTCGCGCACCAAAGGTCACTCTTACCCAGGGTCACTCTTGCGTATAGCCGATGAATTTCGTGGGCCGTTTTCGCTTCGATCTCGTTTTGCGGTAGAGGCGGATTGAAGACAAAACGAGGGAAAACGAACACAAAACGGAAACGAAAAGCACCGTTTAGGTTCAGTCCTGGGCTGGTGGAGGAGAAAGGTTGCGCAGGGCGCGAGGAGGGGCACTTTCGCTCCGACTAGACGTCAGAGTGACCTTTCGCGGGAGTGACCTTTGGTGCGGGCACAGACGGGCCCCCAGATGGCCCAGATGGCTGGACCTAAACGGTGTTTTGGTGATTTCGTGGACCGTTTTCGCTTCGATGTCGCTTTGCGGTCGAGACGGATTGAAGACAAAACGAGGGAAAACGAAAACAAAACGAAAACGAAAAACACCGAAGGCTGGTGGAGGAGAAAGGTTGCGCCGGGCGCGAGGAGGAAGCCAGGGGCACATTCGCTTCGACTAGACGTAAGAGTGACCTTTCGCTGGAGTGACCTTTGTTGCGGGCACAGATGGGCCCCCAGATGGCTGAACACGAAGTGCAGCAGCTGCTTGCGCGCCCAGGCTTGGCCCCCCCGCGGCCCCCAAAAAGTCGCGCACCAAATGTCACTCTTACCCAGGGTCACTCTTGCGTATAGCCGATCGCTGGATATCGCGGCGGTTCTCCCGCCTCGGGATGCTCTCCACTAGCTGCGCCTCGTCGACAGCGGTCCAGGAGTGCCCAGAGCGTGCCGGGCGGCCGCCAGAGACCCGCGACATGACGCGAAAGCTGGACGACGTGGGTCACTGGGAAAAGAGGCCCATCAGGGGCAACGAAAGGGGGGGACAGGCATGTGGGGGGGATGCATCGACCCCCAACCGCCCACTGATCGCCGATATGGGGTCTGATAGCCCCAACCCGCCCAGGAAGGTGCTGATTCACCATCGGGGGCCTATCGCCGATCTATCGGCGATGTATCGCCGAGTCTGGGTCGATGCATCCCCCGTAACCGCGAAGAATCTTAAAACAAAAATGCCAGCAACAGTGGGAAACGAAGTATTTGTCTGGCGACCTCATTGACGGACTGGGGCCCCGACAGCAACGGAAACTTACTGTTTTTTTCCCGCCGCCGCCGCTGACGATAACACCAGCGACGACGACGAGGAGGAAGAGGAAGAGGAGGAGGGGGAGGAGGGAGAGAAGAAGTAGGAGGAGTAGGAGGAGGAGGAAGAGGAGGAGGAGGAGGAGGAGGAGGAGGAGGAGGAGGAGGAGGAGGAGGAGGGAGGAGGAGCAGGAGGGACTGATGGAGGGGGGGTTCCCGGGACCTATGCGTCCTCCTCAGGGCTTCTCCACTGGAGGTTCTTTCTCTCAAAGGATCATTGCTCTGAACACGTTCACCCGATGCTCTGAAACTCTCAAAGGCTCAATGCTCTGAAACTCATTGCTCTGAAACTCTCGCTGCTCTGAAATTCATTGCTCTGAAACTCATTGCTCTGAAACCCATTACTCTGAAACTCATTGCTCTGAAGCTCATTGCTCTAAAACGCATTGTTCTGAAATTCATTGCTCTGAAACTCATTGCTCGAAAACTTTCTCAAAGGCTCATTGCTCTGAAACTCTCACTCTGAAAGCTCACGGGCCCACGACACTCTCACGAAATACATGCCAAAGAGATCTGGTCCTCGTCCTCCTCCTCCTCCTTCTCCTTCTCGTGCTCCGATACTTCGATTATGCTTTCAAACCGTCCTACGAACAAGCTCGAAATTCCTCTCGCGTGGAGGTAGCCCAGGGGGCATTGCCCGATGGGAGAAATATCCGTCCACCAGTATTCAGCACGGCGCGCATTCGTGGGAAACCAATTCCGTCTCCTCCTCCCCTCCTCCTCCTCCTCCTCCTCGTCCCCCCTCCTCCTTCTCCTCCTCCTCCTTCTTCTCCGCCCCCTCCTCCTTAGTTACTCCTCCTCCTCGTCCTCCTCCACCTCCTCCTCCTACTCCTCCACCTTCTCCCCCCTCCTCCGATGCTTCGATTAGTATTGCAAGCCATCCTACGGACAAGCTCGAATTTCCTTTCGCGTGGAGGGTAGCCCAGGAGGCATTGTCCGATGAGAGAAATATCCGTCTACCAGTTTTCGGCACGGCGCGCATTAGTGGGAAACTGGTTCATCCTCCTCCGTCTCCCCCTCTCTCCTTCTCCTTCTCCTCCCATTAGCCCCCCCTGCCTCCTCTCATCTCACCTCCTCCTCCTTCTCCTTCTCCTCAGGCTCCGCTCCTCCCTCCTTCGCCTCCCCTTTCCTCCCCCCTCTTCTCCTCCTCCTTCCTCCTCCTCCGGCCTCGGACGCCCTTTCCCTTTTTCCTTCCTGCCCTCTCCTCCCTCCTCCTCCTCCTCCTCCTCCTCCTCCTCTCCTCCTCCTCCGTCTCCTTCTCCTCGGCCCTCCGCCTCCTCCTCCTTCTTCCTCCTCTTCCTCCTCCCCTCTTCTCCTCCCCTCCTCCTCCTCCTCCTCCTCCTCCTCCTTCCTCCTCCTCCTCCTCTCCTCCTCCTCCTCCGCTTCGGCCCTTGTCCTCTTCCTCTTGCCCTCCTCCTCCCCCTCCTCCTCCTCCTCCTCTCCTTCTCTCCTCCCTCCGACCTCCCTCCCTCCCTCGACCTCCCTCCCTCCTCCCTCCCTCCCTCCTCCTCCCTCCTTCTCATCCTCCCTCGTCCTTCTTCCTCTCCCTCCTCCTCCTCACTCATCCTCCTCCTCCTCCTCCTCTTCCTCAGGCCTCCTGCCTCCTCCTCGTCATCATCCTCACTCCTCCTCCGTCCTGATATCCTCCTCCTTCTCCTCCCTCTCTCCCCTCTTCTCCCTTCTCCTTCTCCTCCTCCTCTTCAGGCCTCCGCCTCCTTCTCCTCCTCCTTCTTCTTCGCTCCTCCTCCTCCCTCCCTCCTCCTCCTTCTCCTCCTCCTCTCTTCCCTCGTCGTCCTATTGTTCCTCCTCTCAGCCTCCTCCTCCTACTCCTCCTCCCCTCCCTCCTCCTCCTCCTCCTCCTCCTCCTCCTCCTCCTCCTCCCTCTCCTCCCTCTCCTCCATTCAGCTCATTAAGTTATGCCTCGCCAGCGTGTGCAAGAAAGCTTCTTGACCCTAGCAATCGGAGGAGCAGGAGGAGGAGGATGATGATGATGAGGAGGAGGAGGAGGAGGAGGAGGAGGAGAAGGGTGGAGGTGGAGGAGGAGGGGGGAGGGAGGAGGTTAACTAACATGCCAGGCAGCGAGCTTAACACCCAATGCACATTGAAGATTCGCGCTCAGCCGCATGGTCCCACGTCGATCACACTCACGGCCACCTGTGCTGCAGGGGGGGGAGTAGGAGGAGGCAGGAGGATGAGGCGAGGAGGAGTGAGGAGGGAAGGAGGAGGAGGCGGGGGGAGGATAATCCAGGAGGGGATTAGGAAGGAGGAAGGGGAGAAAGGAGGAGAGGAGGAGGAGGGCAGGATGAGGAGGAGGAATAGGGGAGGAAGAGGAGGAGGAGGAGGATGAGATGCGTAGAGGAGGGAGGAGGAGGAAGGAGGAAGCCTGAGGAGGAGGAGGCCTGAGGAGGCCTGATGAGAGCCCACGGCCTGCGGGAAGGAAGATGAGGCGGAGGAGGAGGAGGAGGAGAGGAGGCCTGAGGAGGGTAGGAAAGGATACGTTATATGTATGCTGAGAGGAGGAGGATGAGGAGGAGGAGGAGGAGGAGAGGAGGATGAGAGGCCTGAGGACGGATGAGGATGATGAGGAGGAGGAGGAGGAGGAGGAGGAGGAGGAGGAGGAGGAGGAGGAGTATGAGGAGGAGGAGGAGGAGGAGGGAGGATGAATGAGGATGAGGGCCCTGATGATGCCCGGGAAGAGGAGGCCTGGCTAAGGAGGAGGAGGATGCTGAGGAGGAGGAGGAGAAGGAGGAGGAGGAGGAGGAGGAGTAACGTTAGTAGGAGGAGGCCTGAGGAGGAGGAGGAGGAGGAGGAGGAGGAGGAGGAGGAGGAGGCGGAGGGCGAGGACGAGGTTGAGGACGAGGACGAGGAGGCGGAGGAGGACCTGGAGGAGGAGGAGGGAGAGAGGAGGAGGGCGGGTGGGAGGGAGGAGGGAGGGCCAGTTTATTCACCGCCGAGAGCTCCGGGGGCGGGTCACAACTATATAGACTTCCAAGGGCTATGCCAGTCCCCCCCTGTCGATGCCCCTCAGCTCAGGTGTGGCTCGCATCGACCCGAAAATCGCCCATCCGTCGCCGAGAACGGGCCCGATGGCCCACCTCGCCCAGGAACCTTCGGGTTCGCCAGTCGGCCACGTATCGTCGATTCCAGGTCGATGGCTCCCCCGACAGAACGGCATTTGAAGGAGGCTGGGGTTCTCGCATTTTCGGTTCTCCGACGCTCCAAGATAGCTAAAGACGCTCCCAGGACCGCGCCAAGACAGCCCAATACGCCTCTAGCAGGGCCCCAAGACGGACCGAGAGGGCTCCAACATGGCCCAAGATACGCTCCGAGAAGCCCCGAGAAGCCCCCAGGAGGCCCCAAGAGGCCCCAAGAGGCGCCCAAGACGCGCCAAAGAGGCCTCCAGGAAACCCAAAAGATACCCCGCGAGGCCCCAAAAGACCTCCAAGAGGCGACGAAACCGCCCTCAAGAGGGCCCCGAGAGGCTCACCACGACACCCCAACACATATACAAGAGACATCAGACACAAAACCCAGACACGGCGGCGGGATGGGCCGAAGGCTATTCGGATCCGCCGCCCCCTGTTAATTCATCACAGGGGTGCCCGGCGTGCCGTCCGTAGCCATTGTCTTGGCTCGGGCTATCTTTCAGTGAGCCTCCGAGAGAGTGCGGCGTCAAGACCACCAGTCCCCCAGACTTCCGCTGGCCCGTCATGCCAGCAAGCGTTCAGGCCCGTGCCACCGTGCAGACCGCCGCCATGGTTGCTCACCGCCGACGTGTGCGCGGTTGCCGTGCCCCGCGTGCGGTTCCATTGCTGCTGGCGGTGGCGAGCGCAGCTGTGGCGGCGGTGCAGCGCGGCGGGCCTGCTGCCTTTTGCGGCCTGGGCGCGGCAGGGGCCGGCCGCTGGCGGGTGTCAGAGAGCAGCGGTGGCGGGAGCCCGGTGGCCCGCAGGCAGCGACAGCAGGTGGGCGAGACGGAGGGATTGCCCACGCAGGCGGAGCTGCTGCGCAAGAGGTGCGCGGAGAAGGGCTTGCTGCAGAGCGGCAGCGAGAGCGACATGATGTTGCGGCTCCAGGTGTGCCCTGGATCCGTGCGGCGGGCGGCACCGCTGCGGCCACCCGCGAGGCAGCCCCCGGCGCCCGCCGCACCCGCGGCGAGCCCGCCCCCGGCCGCCCCGCGCGCGGAGGGCACGCGCCAGATGAAGGACGGCGGTGTTGGCTCGGTGTCCATGCCAACCCGGGGGTCGTTTGCGCCGCAGGCGCGCACGACTGCGGGCACCGCGAAGTATGCGCCGCCGTCTTCTCATGTCGCCCAGGGGGTGACACCCGACTTCTTCAAGCTTCCCGAGGGCTCTCTGCCGCGGCGCATCTGGCAGTGCGAGAGCTCCTGGGCGGGGAACCACTACGAGGCCCGGGGATGGCGCAGCAGCAAGGGGTTCACTTACGTGGCCAACGTCTTGGACGGCATCACATACCTTGCCACGTCCATGGACGAAAGCATCGACGCCCCTCCGAGGTCCGACTGCAGGGAGGTGTTCGAGCAGGACATGTCTGCGAGCCAGTACGCCGAGCTGGTCGCCACCCTGCTGCAGGTGGAGGAGGACGAGTCCAAGGCACAGCGCTGGCGGCGTGAGCCCAGCATGGTCATGCCTCACGGGGGCTACAGCTTCAGTCTCTTCCCGAGGTTCCGCTATCGCGGCCTGACGACCGAGCCGCTGGGCGGTGCTGAAGGCGTGCCCGAGCCGCACGTGGCGGTCACGGTCGTGCACGAGGCGGTGCCTCCAGCGGAGTTCAACCTGGGCGGCCTGCCCGCCACCAGGGAGATGTGCGACAAGCTCGTGGGCCTGAAAGTCTTCCCCGCCCCCACAGAGAAGGGCGAGACGGGGGAGAGGTGGGAGATATGCGAGGTGGAGGAAGGGGACAAGATCGCGCTGGACGAGGACCTCCGGCAGCAGTTCTTGGGCTACAAGCTCACCGAGAAGAGCCGGGAGTCTTGGCAGCGCGCTCCCCCTGGCATGCTCGTCCTTCCCGTGTCCAGGAACTGCCGCGACGAGGAAGAGTTTCGCCTGACCTACCTCGCTTCGGACCTGCGGCCCGGGGTGTCCGAGCGCAACCAGGAGAGGCTGAAGGGGCTGCCGGGCTGGGAGCGGTGGGAGCCCTTTGCCATCAACAGCCCTGAGGTGAGGAAGATATCCTCGCCCCATGAGCGGCGCCAGCGCATCCTGGAGCAGCTCGAGAGCATGCGGGCCCAGTTCGGGTGGCTTCAGCCGTTCGGGCAGGTGTCCCAGGCGAACCCTGGCAACGTGCTCTTCGGGAAGCTCGAGGTCCCCGCCGGCGTCTTCGGCGGGGGTCAGAAAGTCAGCCCCCCGTCGGGAACAAAGATCATCACGACGCTCGGGAGGAGTGGCCCGTTCCGCCTGGTGGATGGCCCGTCTGGGCCGCCGCGGCTGCGCGGCATCCTGATCGGCAGCCCGAACCCGAAGGAGCGCCAGCGGGCCAAGGAGATCCTGGCCCAGGCACGCAAAGCGCTCTTGGACATGAAGCTGAAGACGGAGGTAAAAGTTGGCGACGACGACGTCGTGGAGTGCAGCGATCTCGGCTCCCTCTCCGGAGCCCTGGGCATGGCAGGCGTGGGGCAGAACGACGCTGTGATACTGTTCGGGTCGGGCTCGCTGGCAGCCAGGGAGTCCGCGGTGCGCGAGCGCATGAAGCAGGAGTGCCTGGCCTGGGGGCCCGACGACTCCCGCCACCTGGCCAGCCAGTGGGTGTCCCTCCCCAACTACGCCGCCTGGGGGAACGACAACAAGGCCAGGTACTCCCTGATGAACGTCTGCATGGGGCTGCTCGCCAAGCTCGGCCACGCGCCCTTCGGCATCGACATCTCGGGCTGGCGCTCGGGGCAGGGCGGGCAGCGGGGCGTGGTCGTCGCGGGCTACGACGTCTGCCACCTGGCCCACAAGGCCGTCCACGTCGCCGTCGGGCAGCGCGTCGAGACCGAGGACGCACGCAAGTCCGTGGCGAGCAGGATCGTTGCCAACGTCAAGCGCATCGACGGAGAGACTGTGGACGCGGAGATGCTGCGGAAGATTGTGCCGCTGGAGGCCGCGAGCGGCAAGGTGGTCTTCGTCCACAGGGATGGTCGCCTGCCCACCGACGAGGTGGCGAGCTGGCAGAAGTACTACGAGGAAGAGCTGAAGGCCACGGGGACCACTCTGCTGCTGATCGAGATCGTGAAGCTCGTGGGCGGAGTGCCGCGGATGTACAAAAGCAGCTCCACGGGCGTTGGCAATGTTGACGAGGGGACCTTCGTGCAGTGGTCGGACAGCAACGCCTACATTGCCACGACGTCGGGAAGCCAAGGGGGGTCCGGAACAGTGAACCCGCTCAACATCCACCTGCGAATGACTCTGGGCGAGGCGCCAGGCATCGCTCGCAACGCGTGGATCCGCAGCATCTTCGATCTCAGCTACCTGCATCACGGCTCCGTCTTCAAGGCGCCGAAGCTGCCCATGACGACGTACTTCTCCGACCGGCTGGCGTACATGGTGGCGAAAGGTGACATCACGTGGGACGAGAAGGTCGAGCGGAGGATGAGCAGCTCGCAGCAGCCCTGGCTCTGAGCGCCCCGCCTCGCCCAGGGGCGTCCCCTCGCCGCCCCCCCGCGCGGGGCGGGGCGCGGACGGGGCTCAGCGCCCCCTCCCGCGCCCCTCTGGCCCGAAGCCCTCCTCCTCCTCCTCCTCCTCCCCTCCTCCTCCTCCTCCTCCTCCTCCTCCTCCTCCTCCTCCTCCCTCCTCCCTCCTCCCTCCTCCCTCCTCCCTCCTCCCTCCTCCCTCCTCCCTCCTCCCTCCTGTAGACAGTCGCAGAGCCGGAGAAGGGCTGTAAGACATGAGGCCGCCGTTCGGCACGACGCCCCCGTGCTCCCGTCTTGGTCCGCGGGCATGGGCTTCCGACACGCCCCGTTTTCTGCAGGGGTTTTGAGCAGCACGTCGCTGCACCCTTTTCCCTCGCTGATCTCACGGCCTCCGCTGATTCTGCTTGCCAGCAGCTCTTCACCTCACTCTGCCTCTACCAGTGTCGAGTCTACTCCAGTTTCGAGAGACTCAGCGCCGAACATGTGAGTAGGATACAACATGCTGCTGTGGTCAGCAGCATGTCAGGGGCACATGTCGCGCACCGTTGCCATCACTCCAAATAGTCTCCGAGGTTGGGGATCTTGCTGTAGCGCTTGGGGAAGCGCCTGTTCCGAACACCCATCCGTGGGCGCAGCTTGGCTCCTTCTCCTCCTCCTCCGCCTCCTTCGCACGCTCCTTCTCCTCATTCTCCCGCCTCGCCCTGCATCTGCATTGACACGGCTCGAGAGTTGATTTGTTTATCGGTTTTGTGTTATTGTGAATTTTATTGTTATTTTCAATCAGCATTATTATTAGTGTTGCTAGTATTATCATCTTCATTAGCAGTATTATTATCAGTATGTTTTACAACATGTCCCCCGCGTGCTAGACCCTTTCTCTTTTGGCTTTGGTTCTTTTCCAAAAGAACTCCCCCTGGGGGTTCGGCCCGTCCCGCCGGACATGCGTAACAGGTGGTTGCAAAGTGTTGTTCGGCTCCAGACGGCTCCAAGATGGCCTCCAAGATGGTCAAGATGGCCCAAGATGGCCTTCAGGTTCGCCCAAGATGGTCCAAGATGGCCTCGAGTGCGGCCCAGGAGAGTCCACGATGCCTCCCCAAGTTCGCACAAGAAACCTTTCAGACGGCCCAAGACGGCTCCAAGATGGCCTAAGACTGCCCTAGAGGGCCCCAAGAGGCCTCCAAGAACTCCACAAGGAAGGCCCGAAGAGGCCAACATCACTGATGGTTATTTTTTTTATAGGATTTGGGCATTTTTTTCTTTTCAGCTGTCCGACGGACCAAGACGGCCCAAGAGGCCCCAAACATCGCCCTAAGAGCAGCCAAGAGGCCTCCAATATGGCCCCATGACAAGCCAAGAGGGCCCCAACAAGACCCCAAGACGGCCCAAGAGGCCCCCAAGATGCCCAAAATGTCTTCCAAGACGGCCAAGATGGCCTCATGCCTCAAAGACGGCCAAGAAGGTCTCCAAGACGGCGAAGATGGCCCCCAGATGCACCCAACACGACCCCAGATGGCCTGAAGATGGCCTTAGACTGCCCAAAAGGATCGCCAGAGGCCTCCAAGACGGCCCAAGACCCCTCCAAGACGTCCTCCAGGAGGCCCGAAGGCTCGGAAACCACCTGATCCGATAGCTCGCCCGACTCCGTGCTCCCCGAAGGGCTTCGAAACCCATTCGGGGAACGCGTGGCCCGATAGCTTGGCGAAACGCAAACCCAACGTTCGGCCACGCAGGCGCTTCCAAAAAGGCAGGGGGCGGCGGTGATTCGACGCAGGCGTCTTCGATAACGCCAACGTCTCAGTACGCGCTGATGTTTCCGATCCGCCCCCCCCACACATGCTGATCCCAGATGCGCCAAGGCAGCGCCGAGACGCAACGACGCGACTCTGATATATCCCATTCTGATAGAGAGGGGGCCGGCGGCAGGGGGCGAAGCGAAGCCCTCACGGAGATTCAGTCGGGCATGTCCTTCTACAGGAGGAGTATTCAAACATAGTAATAGTCAGGGTAGGATTGTTTCGATTATCCGTAAGAGCTTCGCCCTCATGCCACCGGCCCCACCTCTCTTGGAATGGGTTTTGCCAGAGCTGTGTTGGGATGTCTGGACGCTGACGTGAAGCAATGCCCGGACTTCACGCGAGGGCCGATATCAATTTACCTGGGTTTATGGTTTCGGTGGCGCGAGCATCAATTAATTTACGATGGTTTATGGTTTCGGGGGCGCGACTATTCTGTAATTCACGAGGGCTTGTGGCCTCGGCAACGCAACTTCTCTAATGCTTGAAAGTGAATGGCCTCGGGAGCACAAATACTTTGGAATCGACTTGGGATTATGGCCTCGGGGACGCGAGTATAACATAACGTGTGAGGGTTTGTGGCCTCGGGGACGCAAGTATGGTGTAATTTACGATGGTTTATGGCCTTGGACACGATTACAGACTTTTCGAAGGTTTATGGCTTCGGGGGCGCGAACATTCTTTCATGTACAATGGTTTATGGGTTCGGGGGCGCGATTATTGTACAACTTTCCATGGTTTATCGCTTCGGGGGCGTGCGTATTCAGTAATTTGCGCGGGTTTGTGGCCTCGGGGACGCGAATCTTGTGTAGGTTGCCATGGTGTATGGCCTCAGGGACGCGAGTTGCATTTCACTTGCGAAGGTTTATGGCCTCGGGGACGCGAATATTACATTATGTAATGTGCGAGGGTGTGAAGGTTCGAGGACGCAAGTTCGGCGTCATTTACTAAGGTTTATGGCCCTGGGGATGCGACAGTTCTATGTATATATATATACATATATATATATATAGTTTGAAGAGTGTATGCTTTCGGGGGCGCGAACGTTCAGTAATTTACTAGGGTTATGGTCTCGGGGGTGAGAACGTCATGCAACTGAACGGATTTCGGCGTTCGGGGATGCGAATATGGTATAATGTACAAGTTGTTGGACTTCGGGGGGCGCGAATATTGTGTAATTTGCAATGGTACATGGCCTCCAGGACGCGAATCTGGAGTAATTCACTAAGGATCATAGCCTCGGGGCCGCGAGCATCACTTGCTTTTACGTGTCCCACGCCCCCCCCCAGGAATTTAGACAACGCGATTCGGGGACGCTAGCCAGGACGCTTTTCGGCTCCCCCCCGCGCGCTCAGCAACAATTAACAGTAAGGAAGCAGGAAGCAGGACTGTAGCAGTGGAAATTGGACGCTGCAACTGGGACAGGGAGCTGCAATTCTCACCTTCGCAGCCTAAAGTATGTTTGAGCATGGTTGACCTATGTATGAGCTTCCTTCCAAAATGCGCCTGTAGGAGGACATGCCCGACCTAACCCTGGTAACACGATGACCACGTTGCCTACCTTAAGCGTCCCCGCCCTTGCACTCAGGATATTCAATCTGGGTGGCCTCGTCCGACACATCTGCCCAACCACAGAGCCCACTTCCCGAGAGCGTGGGGCCTCGTCGCTCCGGTCCGCTCCCACAGGGTGGGGGGGCCCCTTGATCTTCTACGGTGGGGGCGTTGGTTCAGGAACGTGCCAAGGAGGCTTCCGACCCTGGAGGGTTCCTGATCTGATGAGGGCGGCGGTGCGAGCCATGGCCAAAGCCACAGTTGGAACGCCCTTGCACTCAGGGTATTCAAGCCGGGTGGCCTCGTCCGACACATCTGCCTGGCAAAGGAGCCCACTGCCCGAGAGCGTGGGGACCCTTCGCTCCGGCCCGCTCCCAGAGGGCTGGGGGGCCCCTTGATCTGCTACGGTGGCCGGCGTTGGTTCAGGCATGTGCCAAGGAGGCTTCCGACTCTGGAGGGTGCCTGATCTGATGCGGGCGGCGGTGAGACCCACGGCCAATCCACAGTTGGAACGCCGCCGGTTTCCAGACCCTGGAGGGTGCCTGATCTGATGAGGGCGGCGGTGAGACCCGTGGCCAATCCACAACTGGAACGCCGCTGGTTTCCAGACCCCGGGTGCCTCGTCCAAGGTTTCCTTGCTCGAGCCTTGGCCTTGAGCGGCTTGCCCCTGGGAGTCCCGCCCGCGCCACGCATGTCTGAATTTGACACGGGCGCTTGCGCCTGCGAAGAGGTAACATGCCCTCACCCCAGCTCGGCTCCCAAAGGGTCGGGGGCCCCTTGCTCTGCTGGTCGTCGGCGGCGCGCCGAGAGGGGGCGAAGGCAGAGCGGGCGGGCCGCGCCCCCCTGGGCTCGGCGAGGTCGGGATCCCAGGTCGGGCACGGGGGAGTGAGACGCATGGTGGGCCTGTGTTCCACTACCACCGCCATGAGTTGGAGGGGGAGGGGGTCTCCCTCCTCCTCCTCCTCCTCCTCCTCCTCCTCCTCCTCCTCTTCTTCGTTCTCCACCTCCTCCTCGTCCTCCTCCTCCTTCCCCCCTCCAACTTTTGGTGGTGGTGGTGGCAAACACGCCCATCAACACATGGCGCCCCTTGTGGCAGAAGGACGACTTCAATCTCGGCGAGATCGGGATCCCGGTTTTGCGGGGTGCTCCTGAGATACCCAGGTCGGGCATGGGGACTGACACATGGCGCTCCCAGTGGCAGAACGACGACTGCAATCCATAGGCCACGGCCTCGCCCACTGGGGCCTCGGCGAGGTCGGCATCCTGGTTTTCCGGGGTGCCCCCTCGGATGCCCAGACCCCCGACGTCATGATTTTCTCACGCCGTCGACCCCCAGAGGTCCCGACCCTTTCCCCAGGCCCGGCTTGTCATCCTGAGCCGTTGCTTGACGCTCCCGAGGCCCGGTGGGGGCCCCCGGGGGCCGAGGAGGAGGAGGAGGAGGAGGAGGAGGGGGAGGAGGACCAGGAGGAGACGGAGGAGGAGGAGGAGGAGGAGGAGGAGGGGGAGGAGCAGCGAACAAAAGCTTCCCGTCGCGATTTTGGCACGGCGCGAGGGGGTCCGGGTGCCCACAGGTCGGGCCCGGGGGACTGACACAATGGCGCTCCCTTCGGATGCCACTCTCCTGGGAGGTCAAATTGTGAGTTTGCCCTGGTCCGAAGTCCGGCCAAGTCCGGCTCAGCCCGGCTTAATCCCGCTGAATCCCGCCTAATCCGGCTCAGTCCTGCGGAGTCCGAGGCCCACTCCGGCGTAACAGCTCCCAAACGGGGCTT